GTAGTTAATGTATTAGATTAGTAAGGCCCATTTTTATTTTCCATTTAAGTTATGGTTCAGTGTAACGTCCCACTTGAGGTACGTAGTTAAATTGTGTTGTATTGCTTGAACGTTTATTGAATTGTTCTCATTTGAGCTTGCATAGTGTTATTTTCAGTTGGTTGACCCTTAGTTAGATGGATGAGTTGGTTTGGTTAAGTGTTTGCCCTGATTTTGGTTGAGGCTTGGTGAATGTTTGAATTTCAGTCTTCGCCGCGGCGACGCTAGCTTTGTAATTGCTGTGTCGGTTCTGTAATTTTTCACCGGGGCGACAGAAAGTTCTTCGCCGCGGCGACGGTCCAGTTGAAAAGTTTAATGAAGTTTTTAGATATTTTTCCATAGGGGCAAAATGACCATTCTACCCCTAATTAGCAAGAAAAGTAGGGAGTGAATTGTAAGAAATTTTTCTGGAGAATAGTTTAAATGGGGGGTGCATTTGCAAAGAATTAAAGGGCAAAGATGGAATTCTAAGAAAGAGTAAAGGTAAAATGGGAAAGAGTTGAGAAAATATGAGATATTAAGGGTTTAGCTTTAGAAACTCTTTCATTCATTCTTCTCCACGCCTTTTCCATCCTTCATTTCTCTCAAGTTTTCATTCAATTTTTCCAAGGATTTTTGGAGGGCTTTTGACTAGAAGTTGATTCAAGTTGATCCTAAGCACTTAAAGGTAAGAATCCTTACTCTAGATGTGAATTTTATTGGTGTAAGAGTAGGATCCTTACTAAGTTTGTGTTGAAGGTTTAAGAGAAAGCATCAAGCCATTAAGAGTAGAGAGCTTAAGTGGATTCTACTTGAGTATAAGGTAAGTAAATCCACCTAAGTTGTGATTTGCATGATTGAATGATGTGTAGAGCTTTATATATGATTAATGCTTGGATTTTTATGTTTGAAATGAGTTGATGGATTTTTGAATGAGTTTAATGTTGATTTATGGAGAAATTTCCACCATGAGAATGGTGGATTGTGTTGATAAATTTTGGTGGAAGTATGGATAGAATTAGAAGAATTTGAGAGGAATATTTGAAGTGTATTTTCTTTGTAGGATGTGTGATAATTTGAAGGGGTTGAACTCCAATTTTGGATGGTTAAGAAAGAAGTAGAACTATAGTGAGAGTAGGGTTTATGTATGCACACATAATGTTTGATGAAATGCCTAAGAGAAGCATGAGTAGAAGTAGAGAACCTTACTTTATGCAACATAGCATATTTGCATTTCATGAATGCATATAAGAAAGATTCTAGGCATGAGCCATCCATATGCATATGTTAATATGTGTAATCATTAAAGAAAGAAATATGAGTAATGAGAAAGAAACATTCTAAGAATAGAGATAAAGAAAAGAATAAATTCTCTTAGAATAAAGAGAAAGAAAGAATTAGCACTAGAGAATAAAATGAATAAAAAGTGCTAAAGAAGAGAAAAGATAATAGGTTGTGCGATGTGGAGCCCGTGAGTGTAGAAATTTTCCGCATGTAAACCGCCGTGAGAGAGCAGTCTCCGCCTTGAGAGAGCGGAATGAGAATGAGAAAAAGAATTTGTATAGCTGTGAGAATACATGCTGATGAGAGCTATACACGAGAGAGAGTACACTCACATGGTCAAGGGTTCCGAATCCATGCATCGACCAAGACCGATCGGCAAAGAATAGAATAATAAAGAATAAGAATGAATAAAGAATGAGAAAGACAAGAAAAGAAAGAAAATGCATTGCCTTGCATTAGTGCACATGCATCTCATCCGTACATGTTAGCATGATATCTCTCATGGCTGATGAGAATAGAGAGAAAGAAAGGATAGAAAGAAAGAAAAGAACAGTAGAAACAGAGAAAGAACAAGAGAGATTGAATATGAGAAAGTGGCAAGAGTAAGGAAAGAATTGAAAGGTGATACATGGGGATAGCGGAGTAGAGGATTACTTATTGAGCATTTTTGTGCTTACCCCGTTGTTTTCTATGTTTTTGCAGGACATAGGTGAGGACGTGGTTGGATGGACGTCGGTAAGCGGGGAGACTTGACTACACTGTCCACTGTTTTGAGAGTCTTTTTGTACAAATGATATTGTACTATGTAAAGAATATATATATTAAGTAAAGAAAAATTTTTGGGCCCAACTATTTTGATAAGTATACTTGTGTTTTCATTAATATATTATATGAATATGATAGTAGAAAGAAGTCGTTACCTTCGGCAAGTGGTTTATTACAATTAAAAATGGTTCAATGTATTTTTTGAATATGTAATAGCATCGGTGATTGGTGGATTTCTTATCATGGTTCAATATATTACAAATGGTTCAGCATATTACAATTGCTCGACCACTAGCTTATATTATTGGGGATGTGTTACTGAACAATACAAGTTACAATAGAAGGAGCATCCCTAACCATTTAAAGTTGTTGTGTCCTAGTGTATAATATTTCCATTTTCTTTGTTGCATGTTCCCAGACATTGGTTTGAAAATATTTTTACAATTTATTTTTGTATTGCTAATAACTTTGAATATTCAATATGTTTTGTGTTTTTAAATTTGTATTGCAAAAATTTTCTATTGAGTATGAATGATAAAAGGAATAGGCAATCTTATCTTTTTCTTATATTATATTTATATGTATGTGTTGGTAGATTGCAACAAAGTTTTAATTAGACATTTGGGATGCCCAATGAAGTATAATCACTATTTAATATCATATTGTTATTAATATGTGTCATTAATACTAAAAAATATCAAACACCAATTACATTAAGCCACATGTAACCCAAAATCCTACACATCCACATATCCCACATCGTCATCAATTGCATGCAACCAAATACACATATGCCCCATCATCACCAATTACATGCAGCCACATGTTGAACAATCACCCAACATGTCAAAATCCATAGAAAGATATGCTATACAGATGCATGAATATAATAATATTAACATATAATTGGCTCTTTCAAATTTTGGTTATCATATCAATGGTGAGGTAAATTATAGTGATCCAATCAATGATTAATAGAGATGGATGACTACATAATTAAAAGTAATAGCAGGCAGTGGCAGATCCAATTAATGACTAGTGGGGACCACAGTCCCCACTCAACTTTTAAAAAATTTCAGATTTTATATTTATTTAAATTTTATACTTATAGAACTATGAGATTTTGGGAACGGAGCAGCCCCCACGACAAGTTTGGATATTGTTTTTGTAAAACCCTGTTTTTAGTCCTAATATATATATTTCATATTTTTTGTGATTTTTATTTTTATGCAAGGGGATCTATTAGTTTTTAAAAGTTTTATTAGGAGCGAAAATGAAAGGAATAAGATTTGCTAGGTTTGCATTTAATTGAGGGGAGAAATCTGGGCATTTTACACCAGAAAGCTGATGTGGCGAGGTCATGGTGAGAATGAGAGAATCTTGGGGCATTTTCATAATTCAAAGAATTTGTTTTATATATAAACTGGGTTGTTAGTCAAAAATGAAGAAGAGAGAAAAACCCATAAAGAAGAAAGGAAAAAGAAGCAAAGGAAAAGGAGAAGGAGAAGAGAGGGAAGAATGGGTCTGGTCAGTTTTATCCATTTGATTTTTCTGCACTTGGGTTGATGGTACTTGAGAACCAGGCTAAGACTTATGTTATTGACATATGTTCTTGTGATGAATTTGCTGAGTTACAAGGAATTGGTGATTTGGTTAAGAATTTAGTTTAGTTTAAAAAACATATTTTGCATACGTTGGTGTATAAGCTTGTGAAAGTTGCATTGGTTTTACCAGTTGCGACTACGACTGTTGAAAGAGTTTTTTCTACAATGAATCTTGTGAAAAGTCAGTTATGCAATCGAATGGGAGATCAATGGATGAATGATTGCTTGGTCACCTATATTGAGAAAGATGTATTTGATACAATTGACAATGAGATGATTATCCAACGTTTTCAGAATATGAAAACTTGTCAAGGACAATTGTAGAAAAATTGTTTTATTTTTACAAAAATTGTGTTTTTTGAAAATATTTATTTGTATTTTGTAACTTTTTATTGAAGCTCATTGTAATGAAAAAAAAATGTGGTTATGATTGGTTTTAATTTTTTTTGTTGGTTTGTATTTTGTCCCCATAGAGTGAAATCCCTAGATCCGTCACTGATAGCAAGTGTTATGCCCAACAAGTTAACTGATTATAGTAATATACTGGCAGCCTACAACATCATTGTTGGAGCTTAAAACACATCTTCAAATAACAATTAATATGTGGGACATATTAATATTAATATGTTGTGCAGAACCATTAGTCTATATTAACAGTGGGTAAATTATCCCTTATGCTGTCGAACTATTGAAATGAATCATATTAATGGTGAGGTAAACCATAGTGATCAAATCAATGATTAATAGAGATGGGTGACTACAAAAAGTCATGGGCACTGTTATGCCCAAAAACTTAACTAATTATAGTAATATACTGGCAGCCTACAACATCATTTTTGGAGCTTAAAACACATCTTCAAATATTTATTTGATAGTTATGCTGTCGAACCATAAGTGGCTCTTTAAAATTTTGATATATGTGGTTCATAAGAGGCTCTTTAAAGGCTATGAACATAAATTTTATAGGATGATTTGTCGGGTGACGGCGAACAGAAATTCTAGCATATTGTTCAACATATTATGAATGGTGCTGCCGAACCATAATGATGTGTTTTAAGCTCATCAGCCAAAATTGATTGTTAATAGTTCACAATTTGATGTATGTGGTGGTTCATTATCAATTATCAAATAAAATATTAAATAGGCTGCCAAACCACCATATTGATGTATGTTGCGCCGAACCATAGCCTAAACAAATCTTCATTTCCCAATATATTTTAACAATATTATCCCTTGTGCCGTCGAACTATTGAAATGCTTTTGCCGAACCATTAGTCTTTTTAACAATTAATTTTAGCATCATTAAGGGATAACCATAGTGATTTAGAGTTTTGGATCAGACTGATGTGCAAATAAAATATGATCAGCATTGCAAGTGCCTTTCATATCTCTGTATTTTAACATCATTTCCCAAATTGAACATGAAAGAATACTGAAAAATATTAATATAAATAATTTATTCCACACCAATTTCATTAAGATTTAAGAATTTAATACGGGTTCCGGGATCTAATAGTAAGAGATGTTTGATAAACATAAATTTTGTCATGCATTGCAAGCGCTTTTGATATCTCTGTATTTTATAATCATTTCCCAAGCTCAACATGAAAGAGTACTGAAAAATATTAATATAAATAATTTTTCCACATCAAGTTCGTTATGATTTAAGGATTAAAGAGGAGGGGGCCGTGTGTGGTTGCTCGCTTGGCGATTCAAGGATTTTTGGGCTAGAATTTTTCAAAGAAAACTTTAAGCTTCAATTTGTAGGATTAAAGAGGAGTGCAAGATTTTAAACCTCAATAGAATTTTGAAAACTTTTGGAACACAGATTAAGATGTTCGGCATCTGACATCATTAAATGTATGATGAATGGTTCAGCATACAATTTTCCTAAACTATCTCAAAAGTAAAAAATACTGAAAATAATGGTTGAATGGTTCGACATACAACTTTCCTGATAGTTGGTATTCTTGTCAATGTTCGACATACAATTATACGATTCAAATTTCACAACTGACAATAACATGGTAAAACAACACAATACTTAAAACATATATCATAACAATAATCATCATAATACCATCCATAAAAGTAAATTACCAAATATGTTCAACAAGGACTTCTGGCATAACCAAAAATAACAAAACCAAAACAAAGTATGTCAGAGACATAGCATTTTATTACAATCCATCCATGGCTTGCATACCAATGATGTATATATATATATGAGACATAGGCTATATGATTGCCATTTTGAGGAGCTAGAATTCTTTCATTTTGCCACTCTGTAGATTGCCTGACACATGGCTGCATTTGATTGGTGATGATGTGGATTCTTGACATTTGGCTAGATGTTATTGGTGATGATGTGGCATAGATTGATGAATTGGATTTGATGGTATATGTGGCTTCATGTAATTGGTGTTTGATATTGTTTGTTATTAATGACAGATATTAATAACCTTATTGATTGTTGTTTGTTTCACATTGACAATAAATATTGTCATTTACATTTACATAATCTTATACACATAACATTATTGATTGTTGTTAGTTTATAAATTTATGTGAATGTAATTCACAATGCATTTATGTGAATTTAAGGGGTTCGTGAATATGAATGGTTTGATACTAAGTTTTTATTTTGTTACATTGTATGTGCTATGTGTTGCTCTTTAATATAAACAGTTATAGATATTTATGAGAATGTGAAGAGTTGTATACTTTAATTGGATGTACATAGTATGTAATTATTAGTTTAATTTGGCACTTTATTACCAGCAAGAAACTGAGCAAGAAACAGAGGTATAGTTATTCGATATTGTAATTTTTATATGTTTATATGTCATGTTCTTGCCAATTTATTGTTTATATATTTTCACTTATGTTCTTGCCAGTTCCAGTTTATTTTTAATAATGATTTATATTATAAGTTATGGTTCGACATGCAAATCATAATGAACTGTTAGTATGTTTGTGATTATGTCACATGAACTCCACACGACGAATCATGTAAAGCACCATGAGCAACCAAAGTATAATGATTTATGTTATAATTTATGGTTTGACAGCCAAACCATAATGGACCATTAGTATGTTTACAGTGGCGTCACACAACCGAATTATGTTGGTTTATTATTGATATAACAACTACTTTTTCATCAAATTTGATTTAGGTATATACGATCTTTGGAAGAAACAAAGCTATTGCTTATATATCCCTGTGAAGGAAATGACTATTTTTATTTGTTTATTTTCATTAAAAATCCAGTTGACTGAATTATAATTACATATATAACAAGTTAATGTTTATATGCCAAACCATAGCGATGTTGTCAGAAAAAAATTTACAAGAATGAACTATAATGATTAATATTATAGTTACGGTTCAGCATTCGAACCATAATGTATCATTAGTATGTTTGCTTTTATGTCACAGGAACTCGACACAGTGAAACATCCAGTTTTTTATTATATGGTAAAAATCTAGCTGTCGAACAATGTTGCACCATTACTATACATTATTGATAATTGTCTTTTTTCCCCTGTAGACAATTCATTGCAATGTCTTATTGTTTGCTGAAAGATCTTAACTAATCACATGATGATTGGATAATCGTTGCTAGAGTAATAAGATGTTGGGAATGAATTAATTTTAAAATGAATAACAATGTGTTTAGCATTGATAAGGTTTTGATGGATGAACATGCACAAAATATAAATATTTATATTAGTTAAAAGTTTTATTATTGATAAATTACACACATTTGTTAACACTTTTCATTTCCATTGGTTTTACAGAGCAATGTGATGCATGTAACTATACCAAAAAATAGGGTTCCTAAGTTTAGAAGCCAAATTCATAAAGGTTGTATATATCTCATCAGAAATGTAAGGGTTATAGGATGTGTTGCTTCTTACAGAGTCGTGGAAGGCACATATTGTATACAATTTCTGATGACCACATCTTTGAAGGAGATCAAAGAACCAAGAGTAGCCATTCCAAAGTTTTATTTTAAATTTTATGGTACTCATGATCTTGGAAATAGATCACATGATACTACTTTGTTGTTAGGTATATTTAGTTTTACTTATAAATACTTCAAATCTGTGAAAAATGAAGTTATATATTATATTTAACATAAATAATGATATGCAGATGTGATTGGTATTTTGAATGGAATAGAAGAAACTCAAGAAATTGTATCAACAAAGAGTAATAAAAGAGACATTAGACTATAGATTAAACAGTAAGTTTTTTTTCTTTCAATAATGATACATCTTGCTATCAATTGATATAACTTACATCGCTGTTAATTTCAAAGAAACAATTACTATATCTTTGTGGGGAAAAATTTGTGATGAAATCAATGAAGTTATGCAAATGGAAAATGGCAAGGCTATTGTTATGATTGTTACATCACAAATGTTAAGGAGTTTCAAGGTAGTTTAAACATATTATAGAAAATTATTATATTGTGAATAATTAACTTTTTTTTTTTTTTTAACATGCAGGGTGATTATTTTTGAATACAACTTCGGCATCAAGAATTTATGTAAATCTCGATATTGAGGAGGTGAATTCCCTGCAAGAAATGTAAGATATCAAGAAATTGTATATTATAATTTTAAATGTTGTCTATGATTGATATCTTATGCATTGTTAATATAGAAACCAAAATATGCCAGTTGTTCAATTGCAAAAGAGAATTTTCAATGAAGTACCAGTAGAAAAGGAGATGTTTCAAAATAGAGTGACATTGAAGCATATTACCGATCTGGTGTGGTATAACAATGATGATCAGGTACAATATTTACTATGTAATCAAACTGATTATTACAACTTTATTTTTTATATAAGAAATTCATTTGAATAGGTCATTACACCTTTATTTTTTATATAAAAAATTCATTTGATTAGGTCACTGATTTCGTAATAAAGGCTACGCTAAGTGAAGTTGATTCTAGATTTGGTTGGCGCTATTTGTCTTGCAATTTTTGCAAGAAAAAGATCCTAGAGAATTTGCATTGTCAGAAATGCAGAAAAGAATCGAAATTCCCTCAGATGAGGTATGTATTTTTTTTCCCTCACTAAATTGTAGATTACATTTCAATTGTTAATGGAATTATTGTTAATGTTACAGTAGGTACAAGATAGAATTAGTGACAGATGAAAGTGCAGAAACAACTTTTTTGTTGTTTGATACAATAGCCTAGAAATTGATTGGACTATCCTGCTCTCAATTGCTGAACAAACAAGAGAATGACCCAGGAACAATCCCGAAACATTTGTATGAACTGTGCGGCCAGGCATTTGTTTTCAAGATCAGGTTGGGAGATTCAAACCTCAAGGAAGGAAATCAATCTTATAATGTAGTGAAAGTATTTCTAGTCAATCATAAACTGGAGAATGAATACAAACTATAGGGATTGGACAAAGTTAGTATAGACTTTGATAAAAAATTGTTAATTTGTCCAGATTATTCAAGTAATATGAACATATTGTATTAAACAACAGGCAACGGGTGGAGAAGATGGCACAGACCAAAAAAGTGAAGAAGAAGATGAATTACATGTATTAGTGGCAAATGTTACTAAACGTGGTGTTGAACATCGTGACCATGACACGGCAACAGACAAATCAACTTTTGAGAAGACATATATAACAGTTTGAAAAGAAGAACAAAGTGAACTGAAAAAAGATAGGATTGAACAAAATACATCTGCAAAGCAAAATTATCATGGTAATGAAAAGGAAAAGCAAAAGTCATGATAAAATGTGTAAGCATTAGTTTGCACGAATGTTATTCATGACCACATTCAATAATAATTTTTTAACATTCTCATAGAATTATTATTATTATATTTTAACGAAACAGGGTTTAAAAAAAAAAATTATTTTAACAGTACTTTTGGCATAAGTAATATATATTTTAAAACATATTATAAACATTGTTGCAAAAACACATAAAATATTTACAAATGTTCAGTATTTGTACATATTATATTAAATACAATAGATCAAGTATCAACAACATCTGGCGTAATGTCAGAAACAACCTGATTTCTCTGTTTTGCTTGCAATTGTAATTGCTCCAAGAAAGCAGGATTTTCATTTGGAAACCGCAACTTAAATTCGTTAGCATAGGCTACTCGAGTTTCGAAGAACATCTGAGTTAGTAAACCACAAGCTTCATTCCGTCTGCTTCAGCTTGAGCAATAACAGATTCTATTTTAGTATTGGAGTCAAATAATTCTTTTTCTTCTCTTTTAAGAAGACAAACTTCTTCATGATTTTTTTCACAATTTTTTCCAGCAACCTTAACTATCTCCTCATAATCCTTTAATTCAATTATGACTTCTGCATATCTATTCTGTAGATAGGTGTTTTCAACTGTAAGTTTTTGCTTGTGAA